TATACACATATACACCTTATAGCCTAGAGAACATGCCTGCAGGCCAACTCCTGCCCAAGAGTGTTTGCAAGTCCAGCACAAAGAGTATAATGGTTTACCATGCTCTGCACGGCTCACATCTAAAGTGCTGTGCTCAGCAGTTGCTAATGAATTGTGGACGCACTAGGGCTGATCCCGAGGCAGGCAAGCAGGGCAGGTAAGAGACTATAAACAGTTCAGTTCCATTTAATCTTACTACTAAGCTTCCTGGGATGATTACTGCCCTTGGTGGTAAAACTGCAAGGTAAACTCATTACAACTGAGTTGTAACTGAGTCACAGCTGACCCTCCAGCAGGTTTTCAGTGGTTCTAAATTGCACAGGAAATTACTTATCATTTCCCCACTGAGATGCTGTATTTGAACCACCAGAGATACACCATGTAATGATCAAGTAAACTCTAATCCCAGCACCCTGTGGAATACAACAGTAATTCTGGATCGAAGAATGGGAAATAAAGGCCTCAGGAGAATATGAGTCAAATGGTGGACAAACCAAACCATCAATCAACTTATACTGATTGAGTGTCCATGGCATGGAAAGCACATTGTTTTGAACTTCTGTTTTAAAGTCAGCATGGACAGCAGGAAAAGAACATGAGAAAGGACTTTTACCTGAAATCTAGTTCTGGCTTTGTCATTAATTTACTGTGTGATCTAGAGCAAGTTCCTTCCTAAATCTTGGTTTCATATCTCTACAATAAAGGGGTATGAATGCATCTCTAAAGTCCCTTTCATCATAGATAGATAGATAGATAGATAGATAGATAGATAGATAGATAGATAGAGATATATAATTTGCAGTGCTAAAAATCAGACCCCAGGTGTGGAAGGAGTCATCATTACTTCTCAGAAGCCACTGAGGCCACGGAACTCTGGAGGGTCAAAAAGACTTAATGTTTTCTAAGACTGTTCTGTTCAATTTGGTGGCCCCTAGACAACATGTCGCTATTGAAATGTGGTTAGTCCAAATTAAATATGCCCACTGGACTAGATTCTAATGAATCCTCAACCATTTAGGCTTTGCTAGATTTGGGTTCCATCTCTACACCACTAGAAGCTTTGATTTAATGAAAACCAAACCCTTACTAACATAGGGTCTTCGAATGTGTTCTCAAGTAGGAATTATCATTTTCATTGTAATTGGTGTTATAATCAAATTGTATTAAAAGTTGTTTTCAGGGTGTTTGTAAGCAATCTACCAACATCCATTTCCTCCAGAGAGTAACACTCCTAGAAGCAATGTTTTTATCTTTGATAGAACTAATCAAGCCATGGAACTTTAACCTGCTCCACTCAGCTGACATGTCTGAAACAAACTGTAACTTCATTAATCAGCCAATCACCCCCTATTGCCTCTGGTTAACATTGACGGTGGCCTTTATCAAAATGGTGAAAACTTGGAAATAAGAGACTATCATCAGTTATCAGTCAGCAAAAGTGTATGCAGAAAGAAGGCCCTCAAGAAGGCAAAATGAGATGCTAGTAACTTAATTAAGGAAGTCTGAAAGTCTAGCTCAGAAGTAATTGTCAAATGTAATAGTCATGTGGTTGACCAAATGGCACTGATGGTTGAGCGGATAATGCCCCTAATACTTTACCAAATCTTAACTTTCCTGCAAGTCAGGCCCACTTACTTGACCAAAGAGATTCTGACAATGCTTCTACCCGTATTGATCAAAGATATCCTAACAGCATTTCAGTAATAAATTGTTTAAGTCAATCAGAAATATTTCCTTTGTTTCCTCCTGCATTTTGTCAATATAAGCCAAGCACTGTTGATATTCAGTGTTTCTACATCTCTATGGTTTGGTGCTACCTAATTTAGGACTCTTCCTGAGCCGGCCTTACCTAATAGAATACTTGAAAAAACCAAAATGAGATGTACTTTTCAGTGCAAAATATACACCAAATTTCAAATAATTAGTATGAGAAAACAACACCAAATGTCATTAATAGCATATTTATATTGTTTTAGATGTAAAACATCTTATATGAACTGGCTTAATTAGAATGTTACTAAAATTCATATACATTTTTTTTTTTAGTCTCTTCTGGTAGTTAAATTTTTACTACCATTCTGAAAATAAATCCTCTCTTTAGAGTATAAACTGCTAAAAGTACAAATATTTTGGTATGTTTATTTCCTTTTTCATAGTTAGGTAGAAAATACAGTATCAATATAGATCTTTTCAAGAAAAGATAAACTTTTCTAGGGCATCCGTGGGTAGTATAAACGGTTAACCACTTAGCTGCTGACTGAAGGCTGAAAGTTTGAGTCCATCCAGAGGCACTTTGTTAGAAAGGGCTGGTGATGTGCTTTTGAAAAATCAGCCATTGAAAACATTATGGCCTACAATTCCAGTCTGAAAGAAATGGGTCACCGTGAGTCAAAGGCAACTGTATAAAAAAGCTGCTGCGTTTTAAACACTGGTTATTTTTATGATAGATTTGCCTAGGAGTAGCTACTTGCTCATACAGTGATGAAGTTTTTCATTGTTCAATCTTAACACTTAAAACTCTGAAGACAAAAAAGACCAATTTTTAAAACTGGACCATTTTAATGTTTTTATAGCATAACAAATAGTTCTCTTGACTGCAGGACTTCTTAAGAAAGGCTGTTTGGTAGCATTTGGAAGTACATGGTAATGCTGGTTTGTATCAGTTGTCAAAGTGCTATTAGACCAGTAAGACAGCATTTATGCAGCCATCATTTTCAGGATTGTTGGTAACCTGGGCGTATTTCCCCCAAATAACCTTGCCTCCTTGTGTCACAAGGCCCAACTCACTCACGTTCACCTCAATGACGGTACCTTTGGTAATAACACCTAAAGTTGTATACAGTGGGGATGAAGGATTCTTTTTTACACCAAGTATTGGCAGGCAAAATGTGGCTTTAAGTTCAGGATGTGTTACATGTGCCTTCTTAAACCGTAAGCCCATTGGTCTGATTTTCATATTTAGGTGGTTTTCTTGTAAAACCATCTCCAACAAAGCACACTTTAGTAACCATCCTCTTCCAGGCTTTCTTTTTTCTCTTTCCTGTTCGAATAACTTTCAGTACTTCTGTTTCGCCCTGGACACGAACTTTGGGGAGAGGGACTTCCCATTTTCCCGCTTTCTCTTTGCGTTTTTGTTTAATCATGTTGGAAAGTACTTTAGCTCGGGACTGCCCCTCTCTGTCCAACAGATAGGCAGGTACTGCCCCTTGTGGAGTCTTCTCATCGTTTTGTTTGGTGTTTCTTTTTTCATGCATCTTGATAGTCTTTTTCATTTGTATTTTCTCAGCATGACGCTGCTTATGGTAGAGCTTTACCTTCAGACCAATCATCTTCTTTGCTTTCTTTGAACGCTCATGAGCCTCTCGACTTTCTTTCTTTCTCTTTTTCTCATGGTAATCCAAACGGTACCCATAGCACTTTCGGTGTAACTCAATATACTCATTTTGTGGCATGGTGACGGCAGTAAAGGCCCCAGGCGCAGTGTCCGGGGCGCAAAGAAGATCTCAACTTTCGGGTCTCGGAGACCCACGAGCCGCCTCAATGCACGGCCGAGTCTGGAAAGCTCATATACATTTTTAAAAAATGTCCCATCCTAATAGGCTGCAGAAGCCAGCCTTCAAGATGGCCACTTACGATCCTTGTCTTTTATCACCATTGTGCAGCCCCTTCCACACCAAATAGGACTTACTTATGTGGTTACTGCAGAAATGAATGTGTGGCTCCAGTGGCTGGGTTATAAAAGACACTGGCTTCCACTTTGTCTGGGATCAGTTGGTCGAGGGGAAGCCAGTTTCCCTGTCAAGAGAACACTCAAGAAGCTCTATGGAAAGGTCCATATGAAATATTGACATTTCCTCTCAACAACCATCAGTCTTCAGATGATAACAATGCCCACTTATAGCTTGACTACAAACTCCTAAGAGATCTTGATCCAGAATTACCTAGCTAAACTTCTTCAAAATTACTGATTGACAGAAAATATATGAAATAATAAATATTTATTGCTGTTTTTTTTAAATTGCTAAGTTTGGAAGCAATTTGTTATACAGCAATAGATGAATAGCACACAGCTTTACAAACTTATAGAGCTTATATAATACCATTTTTATCTCTGGAATTTGTTGAGTGTGGGAAATATTCTTGCCTTTTTCTCAGTTTCTGGCTTATTCAAGTTTTGTTATCTAAATGTGGCTAAATTATTAGGCTGAGGGAATCTAATCCTAGAAGACAGCATTCTACTTTGTTCTTTGAAGAGTCTTTCCTTCTTCTTCTTTATTGCAGAAAGCATCCCGGCCTCTTTCTTAAGAAAGAACAAACTTAACATATTCACCTAGGCCAACCAGGAATTTGATGCGGCCAGAGTGCTCCTTGGAGTCAAGGACAGCGAAGTTTTCGTCTCACATACTTTAGGCATGTTGCTAGGAAAGGCTATTCCTTGGAAAAGGACATCATGCGTGGAAAGGTGAGGGGATGGCAAAGGAGAAGAAGACCCTCAACAGTGACTGCAGCAACGAGCTTGAGTGTGTCTGAGATTTTGAGGTTGGTACAGGATAGGTCAGGGTTTAGATCTGTTGTTCATTAGTCGTTTTGAGTTGTACTTGACTCAATGGCACCTAACAACGACAAATCAAAGGAACTAGTCCAGGATATCACAATTAGATACAGTACCAAGGAAGTAGCAAATAACTGAGAGATGATAACCTATGACATGCTTTTCTAAACTGAAAAACTGATGTCAATAGCAGTGACACATAAGTGTGATTCTTTTATAGGTAGGTCTGGTATCTTTGGAGTAGGCGGGGAAGGGATAAACAAAGCTGAATACATTGGGAAATCATGACTCAGAACTTATGACCTGCCTTTCTTTGTCCATGGCCGTGCTGTGTCTAGAACCTGTGATTCCAACTCAGGCTTGCAGTTCTTTAAGTCAAAACCATCCTTACTGTTAACAGAAACATTCTTCAGTTGAGGTTGTCTTCTGAAATCAAAGTGCACTTGTACGTCTCCTTAAAGGACTCGAGGAAAACCGGCATTACTTCATTCACAGTGACATATCTCTGGAGCTCCTTACTCAGGGAAGTGACACCAGTCCCCACTAGCCCACAGGGCACAATGTACCCAAACCACTTCAGGTCCGTACAGCAGTTCAAAGCCAGGCCGTGTGATGTGATGTGCCTTCCACAGCGGACTCCTGCAAGGCAAGCAAAAAGAACAGATACTCTCCCATTATTTGGTTTCAGGATCTTTAGTTCAATGAGATTTGGACTACATCATTGGTTTTTCAACTTTGTTTCTGGAGAAGCCAAAGCGTGTGCAGACTGGGGAATGGGCGAATGGAGGGTGGCTCCACAGCAACTGCACTTAGTAAAACAGGGATTCTAGCAAATGCTCTTTGATATAGAGAATGTGCTGTTTAAAACGTAGGAAAATTACTAAGCGCCCTTAAGGACTAATAACCTGCAAAATAACTTCTGACTCTTCACCCATAAAAATGAATGTGGAACGAAATGCGCTCTGAAAGGCTTCTGGCTCTGAACATAGTATGTTTAGCCTAAAACTCAAAAGCAACTAGCAATTCAAAGGCCGCGCCAGTTACACCTCCTACAAGTAGAGCCCTGCGCTCAGACGCTATTGGCCCATACCCAGTAAGCCAGGCCACGCCCCCAGGCGCTCACCAATTGCGCAGATCTTGCTCTCACCCAACCAGACTCCCGTATAGGGAGGTGGACGCGCGCGCGCAGTCGGCAGGCCCAGGAACTCACACAGGCGCACAGCACAGGCCTCCAGCGCTGCCACGTGAGTGCGCAGGCGCAGGCCGAAACGGCGCAAATCGAGTACAGGGTGGCAGAGTAGTTGGCCTGGGCCGTGGAAGGTGGCTAGGCCTCCGCGGCCTGTGGCGCGCACCTCGGCACCTAACGACCGGAGCCGTGCAGCCTCTTCGGGCGTCAGGCCGCCGCGCAGTCCGGCTGTGTACACAGGCCCCGCGGGCTCACTAAGAAGGAGCGCGCCCCCCTCAAGCCCAGGCTGGACCTGTGTGCCTGGCTCTGCTTGCAGCCTCTTCAGCCAACTCTCCTGTAGGGCCAGAACCTCGGCGTATGGCACCCTGCCAAGCCACACTAGCCGAACCACCGGTTGTCTCATAGCGCCTGCAGTGCCTTCCTCGGGTCCCGCCCTAACTTCGGTCTTGGGGCGTGTAAGGGAGGCGGGGCTTCAGGGGCAATCCCGCGCAGCTGCTTTAAGGGCATGTGAACTGGCCTAGGTAGAAGTGGGGATCCTGCGCAGGGTCTGGCTTAGGCGTTCATTTCAACAACTAGTATTTAGTGCTTGCTAGTGGCCTGGTCCATGAGGAGTTGCGCTGCTAACCCGCTGGGGGCGGGGGGGAGTGGGAGGATGTGGCAGTGCTTCCTTAAGGATTTACAATCTTGCCAATACTATGGGACTGTTCTCCTGTGCCCTGTGGCATCCCAGTGATTCTCTCCTCCAGGGAAGTACCTTGCTTGACTTTGATTGTGTTCTGTAAAGACCTTGGGTAGGGTAGTGGTCAAACACTTGGCTATTCTGCTAGGTACCAGCCATCTAGTTGGCTATGACTCATAGCGAGCCTATGAACAACACATCTGAACCTATCCGCCACCATCCTGACCATCAAATGATCTCTGATATGTGTCAGTTCATCTTGTTAAGGGTTCTTCCTCTCCGCCCCTTTTTTTTTTGGCCCTCCATTTTCCCCAGCATGATGTCTTTTTCCAAGAATTGCCCCCTCCTGACAACATGCCCAAAGTATGTGAGCTGAAGTCTCACCATCCTTTCCTCTTAGGAACACTCTGGTTTCATTTTATCCAAGACAAACTTACTTGCTCTTTTGGCAGTCCATGAGATAGTACTTTTCTCCAACACAACTATTCAAAGCTATTGGTTTTTGTGTGTTCTTTATTCACTATCCAACGTGCAGATGAATAGCAAGCAATTGAAAAGATCAGTTTAGATCAGGAGCAGTTTAGTCTTTAGACTGACATCCTTTCTCTTTGGAACTTTGGAGATGTCTTTGACAGATTTTCCTAGTGCTACAGGTCACAACCTCATTTGCTGAAAGTGAGGAAGACTTGAAATGCTTGCTGCAAAAGACCAACGACTACAGCCTTCAATATGGATTGTATCTTAACATCAAGAAGACAAAAGTCCTTGCTACTGGACCAGTGGGCAACATCATGATAGATGGAGACAGGATTGGAACGTAATGATTTCATCTTGCTTGGATCCACAATCAATGCCCTTGGTACCAGCAGTTAGGAGATAACGAGACATAATGCTTTGGGCAAGTCCACAGTTCGGGAGCTCTCCAAAATACTGATGAGCAATGATGTCAGTTTGAAGACTGAGATACATCTGATTCAGTCCATAGTCTTTTCAGTTACATGGTATGCATCTGAGAGCGGGACAATGACTAAAGATGACAGAATTGACAGAATTGGAATTGTGGTATTGGAGTAGAGTGTTGCATATCCTATGGGCTGCCCAAAAGAACAGACATGTTTTGGCAAAGGTGAAGCAAGAGCACTTACTGGAAGCAAGGATGGTGAAGCTTCATCTCTTCTACTTTGGACATGCACGGAGAGGCTATTCCTTGGAAGAGGATATCAAGCTTGGAAGGGTGGAGGGTCAGTGGAAGGGAGGAAGCCCCCATCAAGATGAATTGACACAGTGACTGCAGCAATGGGCTCAGGTGTATCAGACATGGTAAGGATGGCACAGGATAGGACAGGATTTAGATGTGTTGTTCATAGGGTTGCTATGGATCATAGTCAACGACATCTAACATCAAGAAGTCCTTTTGTGCTGTTAGGCTAAAAATTGATTATTTTAGCCATTTAGCCTCTGGTCTCCAGCTATATTTTACCTGCAGACATATGGTCTTGCAAATCAGCATCAGCTGTGGGACTAGGATAAAAGAATGCTTCCTACACTGGGCAGCAAGACTTGAGACTAGCAAGACAAGATCGAGTGAGACTCTGGTGGTAGAGAGACTGGCATTGCTGTGTACAAATGGTGGCAAGGTGTGACTTGAGGCTTCTTGCATTTGTGCTGGCCACATTTAAAGGTTTGGCTGTTCTTGCTGTATGTTTGAAGGAGAAGCTGATTTATAACTGCTCTGAGACACACCTTGTTGGATGATTTGGTTATAACTATTCAGTGGCAAGCTTTGCTGGATGATTTAGATTTGACAGCTGAACTGAAACTGCAGTCTGGGCTTATTGAGCGATTATGCCTTGGCACTGTTGGGGGCTAAGTGAGATATTCTTTGCCTCCCCTACTCACTTCCTTAGTAAACCCCATTGTTGATACCTTCACTGTGAGTCAGCAACAAATAAACAAACCTCTTGCTCTTGGTGTGGCTCTAGAGGCACCATGGGGCTGGGCTGTGGGCTCTTTATCTACTTTCTCCTATAGGATGGTGAGGTGCTATGTTATTCTTACTCCCTCTGGCCCTTTCAGAGAGACATTCGCGGCCTTGTTTCCCCATGGCCCATTCGGTCCTCTTTAGACACCTTTGATTTCTTGACTGCTGTTACCAAGGGTGTTGACTATGGAGTCAAGTAAAATGAAATGGTTGACAACTTTGATCTTTTCTTCATTTATTATGATGTTACCTATTGGCCATGTGGTGGAATTTTTGTTTTCTTGATGTTGTGATGCAATCCATTTTGAAGTCTTTGAATTTCTGCAGCAAGTGTTTCAAGTCCTCTTCACCTTCAGCAAGGAAGGTTGTGTCATCTGCATAATGCAAGTTGTTCATGAATCGTTCTTCAATCCTGATGCCACATTCTTTTTCATATAGTCCATCTTCTCAAATGATTTGTTCAGCATAGAGATTGAACTGATATGGAGAAAAGACATGATCCTGATGCACACCTTTCTTGATTTTAAACCATGCAGTGTTCCTTTGTTTTATTCAGACAGCAGCTTTTTGGTCTAGGTGTATGTTTCACATGAGCACAATTAAGTATTCTGGAATTCCCATTCTTCTCAACGTAATCCATATATCCAATAAAAGTTATCAGGTTTTACTGACTGGCTACTATATCTTCAAAGAATGCTCTGTGCCTGGGATAGCCTAGCAGAGTTGTTCCAGATTAAAACAAAGGAGCCAAAAATGTGTGCCCTTGCCATGAACCAGGCTTTGTGCACAGGCTGCACCTGGGAAGGCGGTGTAATTTTTGCCAAGGCTACTTCCTTAAGTGGAAGCGAGTTCCCACAGAGGGGCTGAGTTATGTGTCATCAGTGACCAACTCTGAGAAGGTGAGAGGAAAGACTTGCTGGGTCCTGAGCAGAGAATGCCACAGTATTCACAGTGTTGTAGTTAGAATGTAATTTAAACAATTAAATTAACTCGTAGGTAGTTGATCATATTTTGTGTTAGAACCATTGCTATGTGATTTTATTTCTAGAATAATTAAGTATAATTCTCTGGAAACTCACCCACGTTGTCACCTGTTTCAATCAATTTTCTTCTATTGCTGAGTAGTAAGTAGTCCATGATTTAGGGGGAGCTCTGGTTGTGAGGCTATTTCTTGGACATCATGCTTGGAAATACAGAGAGTCAGCAAAGGAGAGGAAGACTCCCAATGAGATGGATTGATACTGTGACTTAAGCAATGGGCTCTAGTGTCTCAGAGATGATAAGGATAGATAACACAGGAAGGGGCAGGGTTCAGGTTGGCTGTTCACAGGGTCACTATGAGTCATACTCACCTAATCACAACAACTGTTGGCAAGCCTTTTGGGAGTTGTACTGTTAACCCAAAGGCGTCTGCTCTCTATAGTTCCAATCCATCAGCAGCTACTGGGAGAAAGATGGGAAATCTCCTCTCATGCAATTTACAGTGATGGAAACCTAATGGTGGGTCAGCTGTGTGTTTGTTCCAACCCTATGACAATGAGTTGAGTGAGTGGCTGATCTCATAGTCTGGAAACAGTTTGCCTAATCATTCACTTGTTGAAAAATACCTGGGTTATTTCCAGTTTTCACTATTATGAATAAAACCACTACAGATATTTTTGTATGGATATTTTTTTATCCCTCTTTAAATACCTCATAACTCAAACTCTATGGCTTGGCACATTGTAGGCTCTCAGTAAATATTTGCCAAATAAATCAATAAAGAACAAATGCTACATATTTTAATTCAAAGGGGGGTCAGATTGCTCCAGATATACAACTGCTTATTGAACCCTAGTATTCCCCAAATATTTGGGGTCATATATTCTTTTTCATAGTAGCTATGAAGCATTCATTCACCCATCTCTCCCTCTATCTGGATACAGTACCTAGCAAGATGCTATTTTTGACATGTAGAAAGCAAAAAGGATTAGGTTTGGTGAGGGCAAGGTTGATATGCAGCTGCTCCATTTCAAAACTGCAGTACTATCTGAGCCAGTTGATAAAATTCCTTATGCTTTGAGTCCCTCTGTCACTCCATTTGCCTGACCTTTCCTCTAGGACACTTAGACCCTCCCAATAATTAGTAACTAAAGGGATAAATGGATCCTAGTTGAAAGCAGAAAGTACCAGAAAAATGCCGATGTTTTATTGACTATGCAAAGGCATTTGACTGTGTGGACCATAGCATGTTATAACCAACACTGAGAAGAACGGGAATCCCAAAAGACTTAATTGTGCTCATATGAAATCTATACCTAAAACCAAGAAGCTGTTGTCTGAACAGAACAAGGGAACACTACATAGTTTAAAATCAAGAAGGGTATATGTCAGGGTTATCCTTTCTCCATACCTACACAATCAGTATGCTCAGAAAACTAATTTATGAAGCTTGACTCTATGAGAAGGAATGCAACATTAGGATAATAGATCATCAACAACCTGTGCTATGCCGATAACACAATCTTGCTTCCTGAAAGTGAGGAGGACTTGAAAAACTTGCTGCAGAAGATCAAGGACTATAGCCTTCAATATGGATTACATCTCAATATCAAGAAAACAAAGGTCTTCACACTATTGATTAGACCAATAAGCAACATCATGATAGATGGAGGAAGGATTGAAATTGTCAATGATTTCCTCTTACTTGGATCAACATGCTTGGTAGCAGCATTCAAGAGATCAGGAGATGTATTCTTTTGGG